AGAGAGAGAGAAAGAGAGAGAGAGAGAGAGCGAGAGAGAGAGAGAGAGAGAGAGAGAGAGAGAGAGAGAAAGAAAGAGAGAGAGACCATTCCATGGCAAACCAGACAAAGTACAAATTGTATCTGCAAATGTGTCCAATGCTCGTTATAAAAGAAGTTATTGTCCATGCCATTCGCTATTCCGTGTTAGGGTCTATGTCCGTCATTTTCTCTTTGTCGTTGTTGTTATTGTGTGTATCACACGCGCTACAAAAAAACATTGATGGATGACCCCTCCCCCGCCAATCAATCAATCACTCACACACTCAATCAATCAATCCATCAATCCATCCATCCATTCATCCATCAATCAATCAATCAATCAATCAATCAATCAGTCAATCAATGCCACCCGGTCATCGATGAGCCCTAACATAACCCCTTCAATATCTACGTATATTATCAGTCCTGCTCTCTTGTCGCTCGTCTGAGCTGTATTGGGAATGGTCAGTATCCCAGCCCAGTGTACGCAGTCTCGTCTATTTTGCCCCGTGGAATGTCTTGTCCGCCCGCCAACCCTCTGGTCGTCGACTTGTATATGGCATCAGCCACTCCTGCCGTCCCTTAAAGAACATATCCGTGTAGTCCTCCTCTAAAGAGACGATCCACCCGCGACACGAATATTGTCAAGCCTTGCGTTCCATGACGACAGAAACGAGGCTTCTCTGAGCACGACCCCTTACCGATTCCCTGTTTGCGCCTGTCATGTACCAACTTGCATGATGCGCACTCGCCTGCAAGCAGACATGACTTCCCCGCCATTCGTTAGCGATCACTTCAATCTCCACAACTACAMAATTCCCTTCCACCGCCCGCACCAACCACCATTGCCTGCCATCTCGCTCCGGACCTGCACTATGAAGTGCCAGAGTATCCACAACGTCCACAATGCACACCTTTAAATTTGCAAGGTGGACGCACAACCATCTCCGCCACTCGCCATATGGACTACCGGCATTGGCATGCTTCGCACTGGAAAGAGATTGTCCATTGGGTGAGCACACAAATCGAGAGTGGTGTGGCGCAGCTCACAGTGCTCGGTGTGCACAAAGTCTGTCGACCACCACCCTCTCATCACCGGTTTTTTTGGAACTGCGACACGGACAACAACACTCGCAATCTATCGGGTGATCACACAAATTGATGGTATCGCTGCTCACATTGCATGGTGTGCACAAAGATCGTCGAGCGTGACCTTATCATCACCGTTCATGCTAGAACTGCGTCACAGTCTATATACGTGGTGCTCTGCGGGCGTGAAATTGACTCGTTACGGCGACGTGTGGAAAGGACAGTAGACGAAAAAGTAATTAAAAAACAAACAAAAAATTACAGAACACATAAAACGAAAAGAAACCGAATGTCACAATTGTTCGATATTTTGACGGGATAAATCGGTGGCCACCAATGAATCGGTCGCCAATTTCGAAAACATAATGAGTTTTCGGATATGGAAGTGCATATATAACGGTGCATTTACTACGTGGACGAAATAGCTACCATCAAGACACAGGGCAGTACAATGAAAGGGGGGAGGGGGAGTTGGTGAGGATGGGTGGTTCACAGCAGGCTTCAAAATTATCGAAGGGTTCAAGCTTTTGTGGTTGATTTGTCGTTAGCGGTGCATAACAAACGGCATAAAAATCCCGCAGCAATGTGTTCGGGTTCGGTGACCAAACGGGAACGAGCGCCAAAACCCTCCGAACGCATACATAAAAAAATATATATATTAAACATCTCAAACAAATATATATTATGTAAAATAATAATACAAACAACTTTTGTCTGGGAGGTATGCTCAAATTCGTAACCGAACTCCAGTTAAAAAAAAAAATAAAAAATGTTTTTTTTTTTAAAATATGTTTGGCCGAACATGTTCGGGAGGCGTTAGCCTGAACACCCGAACATGTTCAAACGTTTGGAAAAGCTCTGAACATGTTTGTTGTATTACACATTAAAAAATAAAAAATAAAAAAATACGCATACAAAAATTTTGAGATTGCAAACATTCCACACGATTTAAAAAATAACAGTGACACAACTTTCACTCACACATGACCTGATGTGCGACACACATCACTTCCCGAGCGACAATGACATCATAGTGACCACTCGAACGTTCCACGCGATTTCAAAATTGTCCAAGACATTGCCAAATTGAGAGTTATACAAATTCAAATTTCACAGCCGTTGTTGCCTCACCAACGGTGAGTTTCATCCCTTCCTGCCCCCCCAAAAAAAAAAAATGGCAACTACAGGAAGACTACAACCCGAAACAGAGGATGCGGTCCTTTTCACAAGGCCAGACTATGGCGATTAAATCTCCAACTTCCCCCCCGCCATGTCGGATGAGTTCGCATCCCCCGCGAACGTCCTACGTAAACATTCGACGATCCGGTCGATCTCACAGCGGTAGGTATCCCGAGATATCCCCGGATTCAAGCATGGCCAACCATGAACCCCCCCACCGCCGACTATCCTCTAGCCAAGGGAGAGGACTGCAACTTCTGGTCCGTAGTGGCAAAATGACACAACACTAGCCACAATCGCTCCGCTTGGAGAAGATGGAATGTCCATGGGTG